CCCCCCACACTCTCACACACAAATACGGGCTCCAGACATTCAGGGCCTTCGGTGCTGGTCTCTGCGCTCAGTCCACACACCCTTTTTGGCAGTGGTCGAGAACAAATTCTACTCAAAAGTTTCTAACCACTTCAAGAGAGAGAACTTGGAGGGTCACACAGTTTGTTTTATCTAATAATATTCTTTAAAAGAACATGATTTACTTTCCCAGAACACACGTGGATGCAGTGAAAGAGAGAAGAGTCGATGAACCAACCGCCTTGGTTGCCAGCAGCACCCAGCCCCAAGCCCTAGCTCAGCTGAGAGCCAACTTGCTCCATGGGCCTGAGCCCTGTGATTCTGAGGCGTATCCACACATTCTGCAAAGAATCTACAGCATTAGAAAACCAAAACTAGACTCTTGCCTTTCCCAAGCCCTTCAGTTAACATTGCTCAATGTAGCTAAGTGGAGGGAATGCAAATGATTTATATTTCGCTGGCTAGGTTGAAGAAACTCAAGGGAGATGTGCTCTGCTTCAAGAAAGGGAAAAAAATTCCCCAAAACTGTAATGCAAAAAGGCTTTGTAGTATTTTTAAACCTTTGATTCAGTCCATATGTGACATCTGAACACCGCCAAATTCTGTCTATGTTTCAACACACACACACACACACACACACATACAGACACACACAGTCCTAGCAGGAGAATAAAGTTGGGTTTTAGCAGCGGTGGTGGTGTAAGGTAGGGAGGGCCGGCTGGGATCGTCTCTCTTTCAATTATTCAGTGTTGAGGAAGCCTCCTTCTATGCCAGTCCTTGTGGCCCCCCTGCATTCGCAGTTATTTTAAAAGGGAAAGTATGTTGAAATGAATAGAAAAAACTTTCAGGGGCTTACCTGGTTGGCCTCTCACTTCCCGTCCTGAAAAGTAGAGAGCTAAGAAAACCCAGGTGAGCAGAAACATATCCATTTTGGAGAAAGAGGCTCTCTCCAGAGCTGGATTTGTAGGTTTCTCGTATAATTGTAAGTCTTTGTGTTTTCTCTTATGCTCTTCCTTACAGTGTCTTCTGCAGAGGTTTCTAATGGTCAGTGTTTCCCTCCTGGGTCCTGGCGGCCCGTCTTCACCTCTATTCTTGCTGGATCCCCACCTCGCCAGGAGGAGGGTAGCTCTTGAAATCAGCCAAGAGGGAGCAAGCCGGGTAGAGGGGACGCTTTTCCTCTTAAAAACAAAACGGATCTATGTCCTCTCCAGTTCCTCAAAGTATCATTTCCTTTATCCTACAACATCACGAATATTTCCCGAAAGCCAAGCGTAAAAAATAAAAACATAAAAAAAATTATAATAAAAATAAAAGCCAAGACTTGCCTTGGGCATCACACGGCCCCAGGCAGCTGTGTGATCTCAGAGGCGTAAACTGACACACATCCCCCGGC